AGATACAGGGCTACACTGAAAAACCGCCCCAACTCCAACATCACAAACATCGATGTTGATAGCAGAAGCCCAGCTGATACTTCTTTCCAGGATTGAGTCACAGCTAAAGAGGAACAGACTCGATAAAGATACTATGATGAGAAAAAAAGCAAACACGAAGCTATGGGTAGAACTAACTAATATTGACAATGGCAGAATAGAGAGAATTGAGCATTATGATGAAACTAGTCCCTATGTTCTCCAGCAGCCAAGACTTTTAGCAGCATAAATTTCGAAAATAGCTAATTGATTGATTAATTGATTGACATTATTGATCTTACATTGGAGAAATGGAGAAAGCTCAGGATAACCTAGTCCTTTTGGATAAGCTATGAGAAAGAAAGAACCAAGATACTGTATCTTAGAAGTCTTATGCTGTGTTTCAAGTAAAACATGTTTTGGTAAACCCAAATTAAAGTTCCAATTAAAGGGTTATTTATGAAGCTAGAATATAGCAAAACAGTAAAAAAAAAAACAAAAAAAAAAAAAAAAAAAAAAAAAACACAAACATATAAAAACAATCAGCTCCTGGTCTCTTCTTTTACTGAATATAAGGTAACTAGACATAATAAAAGCCAAAAGAGATCCAGCTTTTTTCACTATGTTGAAATAACCTGCACTATGATGTCAACATTTCTACTGACCACAAACCCACTTTTTTTGAAACAATATAAACCTAGCTGAATGTATTTAAAGTATACTAAACCCAGTAACCTACTCTGCCACTGTTAACATGACGAACTGCAAACAAGCCTAGATTTGGAGCGATTCTTGCTTTGAAAGATTTAAACTCAGTCACATAATATTTTCTTTTTTTTCAGTGTCAAATATGAATTTAGGTTTTTTTGGGTGGAAAGATTGCAGATAAAATGACAATATTAATTTCTCCTGCAACTTTATTAAATCTCCTCTAGGTGGTAGTATTACCTTAATTATATATTACCACTTTTTTAATGACAGAGAATTTTCCAACTACATACATTAAATATTTTCTTCCGCTTCTTTGTCTTCAGTGTCCAACACAGTCCAACCACTTGTGTAGCTGGTTACTGTTTCTGCCTGATGTGATGCATAGTGATACAACAGCAATGTGTTTGTGTTGGTTTTTTTCACTTTATTTTTTAGACCTTTGGCTTTAAATACAAATCTGCTCCATAGTATTAGCCAGATCATGGATATGGTGGTTGACTACCAGTATAATAAAATATTGATTCACAACCCTCAACATCATAGGAGAGAAAGTGGAGATAGTTCACCCCTAAGCAAAAAGTACAAATACTTGAAGTAAATTCTATTAAGAAAACTTAAGTATAAGCTCAGTGTTTACCGTTTTGAGACATATGCCTGTTATTATTCAAAAATCCTCAAAAAGTGAGATAAGTCAAAAACAGAAGACTATACATTGTGTTATTAAGCAGAATATGCTGCCCCTGTCCTAAAACAACAACACCATCAATCATCACTACCGACTTTTGCCATAATATCCATTTGCTTATAGGTAGTGTTTCTTTTCTTATGTAGCTTATGAGGACATTGTTCTTGGTTCTTGTCCACTCTAAAAAGAATAAAACTCTAAAAGAATAAAACTTAACGCAATTTCTTTGAATTGACACTTTGAATTGAAAAAGCTCCCTGAAGGGGAAGCAAAACGCTTCAAACTTGGAAACAAAGTTTTTTTTTTTTTTTTTTTTTACCTTTTTTTAGAATGACTATGACCTGCATGGATGAAAGAGAACCTTCACTAGCTTATGAAGAAATATAAATTCTAAAAATGTTTAGTTTAGAAATGTGATATTGAAACTTTATGTTGATGTTGGTAATTTATATTTTTTTATTTTTTCATTCGATAATGTAACTTAAAACAGAAGAGCAAAGCGTTTCTGATGCATCACTATAATAATCAGAAGAGCCCAGAACGCTGTTTAAAGCTACAATGGGATACAAATCTGCCACTCGCAATATGGCGGCGATCCTCTATCATGGACCGTAATTATCGCGAGATATTGCACGCGATATTTTTTTTCATGGCGGCGCCCGTTCACTAGGTCTAATAACGCTTAGAAATAACAGTTAATAACGTGTATGGACATTTATAGCTTATTGAAGATTCATTATAAATAGCAGAAATTGTTGGAGGGGAGCTTGTTTGCATAAAACTAGTACAGAGGAAACAACAAGAGACATTCCAGGAAAAAAAAAGCAACAGGACACAACAAAGACACTATCAGTCGGATAATAAAGGTGAGTGCTCTCGCTTTTATCAGCAATGGTTTTTAATCTACTGGTAACACCAAAAATGTTCGACACGATTGAGTCTGGTGAAATGAAGGAGCAGAATACAATTCCGTTAAAACGCTTTATTGGACCTGATCTATTGGTCGTAAAATGCGAAACTATGTCATTAGAGGATGTAGGTGAATGTAGGAATGCTAGATTAAAAGATATATTTGCTGCAGACCAAAGGAAACTCTGCTTCTGATTTGGGAAACGGCCCTACATCCCTCATCCTATATCCTGGTACTCTGCCGCCATTATGATAGTATAAGAAACCCGTAAGGTGATTTCCACTTTATTCATTTCATCATAGAAATTGACCTATATTTAAAAGTGTTTTATTAAAGTAATTATTAGTACTCAATTATTAAACTATATTGTATTTTGATCTAAAAAATGCTGAGCGCTCATTCATGATGGTGCAGTGCAATCATTATAGAAATGTTATCTATGTATTATTGTTGTGTTTTATGTCTGAGTTGTTCCTGTTTCTTTCATATTAATATAATGCGTCTTTCTTTCTTATTGCAGCAGATATGTAAGGGTAAAAGCACAGAGTTCAACACATCCAGAGCCTTGCTGGACCTTCATAATGTGCATGGACCAGAAATCCTTTCAACACCACTTCCTGCTCCAGTTTCAACACCTCCAGGTCCTACCTCAGAATGAATTTGTTACAGCTTGAAAAGTCATGCTGCATGAACATGTAGAAGCTATTGATTAGGCACAGAATTTATCGGTGCACTCTCTGTTGTTGACTAATTCCGGATTTCTGCATTGCTCCTCAGTTCCTGCTACACTGTCATATAATGCATTATTGCAGAAGCCGTGCTTTTTGCCACACATGATTGATAATCCATTGACACATTTGCTACACAAACAGGCACCTTTCCAACTTGCAAAAGGTCTAGAAGATAAATCTCCTGAAATTCAGCCTTACCTTACAGAAAAGCCTGGAAACATTTATGTTCAGTTTTTTTTTATTATTATTATTTTTGTTTTACTTAAAGGGACACTATGCAACATTTTTCAGTTAATTAATGTGTTCCATAACGTTATGGATGATTAAATGAGTCATTTCAGGTTGAACAAAGGTATTCTCGGCCGCCCTGGTGGTCTGTGGGGGAAAAACTGCACTTGCAATTGCAGGAGCATCGACCCGCACCCACAGGCTCAGTCTTGCTTTACGGCGAGAACTGCTACACGCCCCCAGTTAAAAGCATGCTCGTTGCTAGCACAGTGGGGATCTTTGTGCAGTTATGCTACTTTCACGCAGCAAAAGCAGCAAAATCGTGTCTGCTGCTTCATTTTTGCTGCTTGTACCAGTTAGTTCTGACGCGCGGCTGAAGCAGCTTTGCTGCTCTGGCTGCAAAAGTGTGTCTGAGGCGCGTTGGGTGGAGCTTCACTATCCTTTCTCTGCCTTGCAGCTATATTTGCTGTGATCAGTGGGAATAAAGTAGTTTTAATATGTTTTTAAGTGAGAAAATACACCTGAAAACGTAATCAGTGCAGTCAGTTCATTCAGATTATTATCCTGCCTTCAATATTTTTTCTGTCGGAGCCGCTCAGACCCCCACATACCAGGGATGCGCCGACAGCAGGGATCCCTTCATCAGCAGCGGTTCACCGCGGCAGCTGGTAGGTGTTTTTCATCTAAATAATCCAAACTGCATATTCTGCCGGCAGATTTCTGCATTTTAAGTTAATTTAGGCGTCAATAAACTGTTTAAGAGGAGTGATCATCAGCGCTGTGTCTCTCTCCCTGCGTTAAACGCACCCGACGCGCTGCTGCAGCCGCTCAGACGTGCTGCGCCTGCATCTCAAAACGCGCCGCGGGACCTTTTGCTGCGCCTTGACGCGCGTCAACCATTGACTTTGCATTTAAACTCGCTGCTTCTGTCGCGCCAGCTACATCCAGTGTGAACGCAGCATTAGTCATTCGCTGCTAAGCTCAAAACAACCGCGCCTGGCTTGACGGAGAAACCAGGAGAACAGCTGTGCATATTTACGACAGTGCACTTTTACTTTCGCCCTCTGGAGGGAGCCTCACTGGAAAATCAACACCGGTTGCATAGTGTACCTTTAATTCCTATTTGAATCTATGTCCATATCAATTCTAGAAGTTAGAACAGAACCTCCTGGCTATTACATTTTACTGCACACATTTGTGATTTAGTAGAAAACTAATAGAATTTTAAATGATATTAATTACAAATTTGAGACTGTAAAGTTTGACCATATAATATCATGAGACTACAATAAGCAATTAAATATGTTGCATGGATAGAAAATCATCCCTGTTTACTTACCCCGGCTGAGATGGGATTCTATTTTTACCCGCCCAGATACTGTTTAAGCTAAATCTCTACAAATGCTTTTTGAACCTCAATTTCTCCATAGTTTGGTTAATATTTATGAATTCAATAAGTCATTATGTCTGTTACAGGTGACTCCTGGTAGTGAATTCATCTCTGCAGACATTGCACTGAATTTATCCACCTCATATAGCTCTGTTCTAATAGCAGCCGTTTCTGCTTCATGTCTCTCTAACATACCCTGACACTTAAAAAAGCCAATGTTCATGAAAAAAACCCTAAACAAAATAAAGCCTCAGTATTGCTGCTCATTATGTTATTCACTGGTATGCTCACTGCGTAGCGTCTCCACTACGGTCTTTTGTGGTGGAGTCTTTTGTGAATTATTCACCCTTGTTTTTAACTATCCTAAGCATCTGTAGTCTTTTCTGGTTACAATAATTAAACTTGATTGGATTGGTTTGGACTTTTCCATTCTTCATTTTTCAGATTTTGATTTGTGAAACCTTCATTTATTCTGTAAATGTTTAACAAAGATTCACAGGCTACAACACACTAATGCTAACGACACTAATAGCTCAAGAATACTTAAACATTTTCAAAGGGATATTTATGAGCTACCAGGTGTCAGTGCAGTAGAATTGGAAAAACCCTGATCAGATATGTTTTTTTTATACCAGTGTTTTTCAAAGGGAGGGATGCTAGAGCAGGGCTTTCAAAATATGAGTGAACATATGCAGAATAATACAATCTAATTATTCTTTTAGCAGTATCATACAGTAAAAACATTTTACTACCAATATTAGAAAATAAAACTTGCAGTAATATTTAATATAAACATAAAATTATTTAAAAATTAACTTTAAGACTCTTTCCCTGATGTGCTACCTTTTTGTATCTAAATAGAAAGATTCAGACCCCAGATCCGGGAACAGCTCCCATATACAAAACATAGCGCTGGCTGTTATATTTCAAAATGGGTCCCCTTTCAGAAGCTAGTGGTAGTCTGATAAAGACTAGCTCAGTTTAAAAAAGGTCCTGTCTTTACTTGATAAAATGGTCTTGACTACAAATTATTTTGTGAATCACTTAATCAGCTTATTTTTCATATTTTAATAAACCTGAGTAAATAGTCTTAAATTTCGAGGATACTAAAACAAGAAATCTTTTGTGTGAAATATAAGTGATGTTAAATAAAGGTTTCCCAGATCACAAATTGGGTTTGAGTGGATCTTATTTTTGTATAGAAGAATTTAGTCCAAGTTTGAGTAATCTAAATATTGTAATTTTAAGCTGGAGCAAATTTAGTCTGGATGCAAAAAGTACCATCAGGTGCTTTATTGAACTTTTATAGATCAAATAAAGGTTTTACATTTATCAAAGCCTACGCACTGACAGCTAAACCTATTTAAAGGTTTAGATATCAGTGTGTAGAATAACTGAGTCTAGATTTAGAGAGTTCTGGTATTTGGTTTTTTAATAGATAGTAGAAAAAATAGGTGAAAGTGCCCTTTATATTACTGTTGAGGTATATCGAAATAACTGTTAGAAAAAAAATCATTAATCTCCATTTTCTTGCAGAAATTATTGGGGTTTATGTAATGAAACCAGAGGCCCTTGATTAAAGAAGCGCCATAATGAACCACCAGGACCAAGAACTTTCCATAAAGGAGGAGGAAGAGGAATTTCCAACAAGTCTCGCTACTGGTAATCTGTTCACATGCTTCTCATTTAAACACCATACTCCTATTTGGGTTTTGTTATGCTAATGCAATATATGATGTTTGTAAGTTTGTGTCAGCACAAAGATGGCGTCTAATGTCTGTTACTGGGAACTTTAACCCCGGGAGTCCTCTGTTTTCTGCAGTTCACCTAATACAGATTTGTTATTACCTTTAACATCCCATCACTGTGAGGGGTATTAAGGGAAATATGGGTTGTATGTCAGTAGTGTAAAATCTTAAATATACATTTTAAAACTGTTCATTATGTTGGTTTTAAATGGGCTGTTTTCAGTACGACTGATTGTGCCACCTATGATTTTCTTTAAAAAAACAAACAAAAAAATATTCTTAAACTAAACTTTTCTTGCTCACAGAACAAAATAAATGTAATAATAATGGATGAAAATAATCAATATTTTCTAGAATGTTCATTATAATATCAGTACAATAAATATCTTTATGCTTTAACCACATCTTTATCAGGGGTTTAAGAAACATATATGTATACAGTATGGATACTTTGTCTTTTCTCTCGAAAACAGCCCCTTTATTTTAGCCGTTCTTTTACTTCTGCATAGATTTGATCATCAAATATGTTGATTTTCAATATCCAGTCGCCATCTCTATATTTCCTTTCCTAACCCTTAGTTTCCCTCATTATTCCAACTTTAAATTTTCTTGTAGTTTTTCTAGTGAATTTAACTGCATTAAGAACCTGTATAGGTTGTTTCTGACTTATCCTGACTTGTAACTTGTTGGATCATTAGATCTGTTGTGCAATAAGCCTATGTATGTCCTTAAAATCTTTCCTGCAGACGTGGATCAGCTGTTGGTGGTGAAAACAGAAGCTCCAGATGAATGGTCCTGTGATCTTGACTATCAGGACCCAGAAAACAACATAAAAGAGGAACTCTCTAACAGCCCATTGGCCACTGGTAATATGTCTACTGGTTATATAGTTCTAAATATGATAGATCTGTTGTTTTATTTCTGAATAAAAGACTCACCATCGTTTGCGCACTGTTAGTTTTTATGTTAAAGCATGACCAGAACAAAGTGGTGAAGATTGGGGGATTCATTTATCACCATCCCATTATTATAATTGTCCCTACTCCCCTAAACAATAAGACATCTTTAATGTTACAGACGGATATTATCTGCACACTTAAGACATTTAGTCTGTGTAGACAAAGGGAGTTACTCAAACCTCCCCACTATACCCACAGTGGGAATGACATAAAGGCGTAACGGAAAATTTGTGTCAAGTTCATAAGTTTGGAAATGAACTGAATATAAAGAGGGGTTCAACAACTGAGGGTGGGCCTTAACTTTTAAAAAATGAAACTAATAGAAAAACAGAACACACTCTAAATACCAGGTTTTAAAGAAAACAGTCATTATTATTCTCTATCAAATTATTTAGTGATCTAACTATATGTGGGTAGATGCATATAAACAAACCTGAAAAGACTAAATTCATAAATTTAAAGCAATAAGATGGACTAGGGTAAATGCATCTGCACCGCCTAGAGCTGCTTCATTGCCCCTCAGAAATTTTTTATAGGATTGTGTGTTTCAGTGGTCCAAAGACAGCTTTTCCTATTCTTTTAGAATAGCCCAGTAGCAGCTGTTTCTGTGTAATATTTTCTTTATTATATTAATAGTTGGAATAAATAAAAAGTTAAGCAAGAATAAAGGAAGAATAGAGTTTAGCCAGTTGTAAGTTAACTGAAATCCATCAGACTACACACATAATCAGTTCCTTTTTATTCATTAGATTTAGCAGCTAATACATCAATGGTTTAAAAACAAAAATAGATAAAACAGAAAATTGCATCAGCATTTAGCTGAAGGTTCTGTACCTTTGTGGTGGTTCTGATTTTGGTATTGCTATATTTTTTACCTGATGGCTGCAATCTAGAAAGTTCGTTGTAAGGGTGTGAGGAGTTTGAGATTATTCAAAGCCCCGTTGCTCCAGCAGGTTTGAGACACGTCTTAGACAGAAGGTATTGCCTCCCTCTGTCCCCTACAGGGGATATTTGTCTGTCATGTTACAGCAACCGTTCCATAGAATAACCATTTGGAAATGACTAAACTCTAGTCTAGAGGTTGTACTTATTAGATGTTTACTAGGCTTGACATGCAGAAAATAAAGAATCTTGATTTTACTTTGGATTTACCAACACTAAATGGATTTAGCAACACTTCAAAACAGATGAGCAAGAATACCAAGAGGCCCAATAAAATGACAAAGTTAGTGAAATGGTAATAGTTCAGGTAAATGCAGCAGTCCATTTGGTTTTATCATTGAATAAGAAGTCAAGCCGACAATATATGCTCAGTGTAATGGAATCACTTTTTGTCAAATTTGTTTACTGCAAAATGAATGAAGTGTTGGAAATAAGCATTTTAGTAGTCTGATTTTATTTTTATCAGAGCTACACAGACTAAATTTTCCAATCATTGCTGATACAAGGAGGGAAATTGACCCTCGGCCTCCCTTAACATCTTGCTTTGAATATGTTAAAACTTAAAATACTTATGATAATGGAGAGTGGCGGCCTAGTGGTTAGGGCATAGAGCTGGGAAATCCTGAGGTTCTGAGTTCGAGCCCCAATCCCACATACTTAATCCTACCCACTCCTCCCCAAAGGAATGGGTTAAATGTAGAGATAAGTTTCTCGAATGTAAGATCAATATAGGTTCAATTAAACTAAGTTAAATCGATTCATTAATAACATCTAAAGCTAAATTGAATGGCCTGTGCAATCCTCTGCACCTGCAAAAGGTCAACACCTGCAGACTGTCAATACTACTTTAGAACGTTTTTTTTCACGTTCTTTCAAATACAGCCTTACTATATTGTATACTGCATTTATGGTATGAAATGTTTATCTTCAAATAGCAATAGCAAAGAAACTCCATGAACTCAGATAAATTCAACAAAAATCCAGCTAACGAGCTTACAGGTGAGTTTCTTGATGCTCCCCGCAGATGTCCTGCAGCTGTTGGTGGTCAAAGAACAGGCTCCTGATGAATCGGGCCTCAGAACTACACAGGAGGGACCTGAACTTCAGGTAAAACAGGAAGAGGAGGAAGAAGAAGCCAGTCCATTGACTGATGGTATGTGAGCTCTTTACTTTGTCCACTGCAGCCTTATATTTGTGTGTGTGGTCCTGGTTTGGCATCAGAGTGAGGACAATTCTCTGATTTCACATCCAAAAGAAGGACTGTTTGTAAGTGAGAGCATTCTACTGGTGCTAGCTTTCTTTTTTGCTAATTGTTAGGTTTAGGACTAAAGTATGGATTCAATTTGAGTTAGAGTTAGCGTTAGGTATGCACCGGTTAGGGTTAGGTTAAGGTTACTGTCAGGGTTAGGCCATAAAAAGGGTTGAAAATAACTTTAGTGGATATCAAAAGGAGTCAACATTGGTTCTCGGAACATATACTAGGATGAGAATATGTGTTTGATGAATATTAACTTTGTTGTTTTTCGACATACACTGTGCACACACATACATTTTTTGACTGCTTTTGAGACGATTTTCCAGTCGTGAGACGAGTTAGTTGGCCAGACTTACTCCTGGCCAAATTGTGCATCATTTATTATACAAGGGGGTCACCTGAGGCGATTAGCACCTCATGACAAGCTCCCAATCAGAAATTCGGTGTTGCAAGAAAATCAAACCTGATATTTTAGTCGTGGCTGATGAGTGAATTGCAAGATGTAACACGACCAGACTGAAAACTCTTTCCTCTGTGATTTTCACGTTACTCATTAATATTTATAGCTACAGTGAGGAAAATAAGTATTTAAACACCCTGCAATTTTGCAAGTTCTTCCGCTTAGAAAACATGTAACTATATATTTGTGTGATATTTCTGCAAATATATGAACCCCTGTCTATCAGCTACAATTCTGACCCTCAAAGACCTGCTAGACTGCCTTCAAAACCTCCACTCCATTAATCATCCTATATTAGATGCACCTGTTTGAGGTGGTTAGCTGCATAAAGACTAGGGATAGGACGATTTATGAAAACCGTCCGAACCGTTCGGTTCGACTGTCTCTGTTTGATTCGCGTGTGTTTAGTTCGGTTCATGCGCTGCTCCTTTTTCTCATAGGCGAAGCGTTTACACTCCAGAGCAGAAGGTGGCGGTACTGCGACCAAAGCCAACCACCAGTAGTAAACAAGAAGAAGCGAAGCAGCGTAGCAGCGTAGCCGGGTGTAGCAGAGAAAAAAATCAGTTGTTGTGGAGAATTGTGTGGGTATGGAGAGTGGGAAAGAACAGGAGTTGGAAGACGCGCCAGCAGCACTTTATAGGTCTGCTGTATGGGACCACTTTGCATTTAGAGTGACCTACGATGACGGCGGAAAGAAAGTTGTGGATAAAAGTGCAACAGTGTGCAAGCATTGTGCAACATGTTTTGTTTATGCTAACAGCAACATGACCAACATGTCATGCTAACCCCGAAATCCCTCATACTCCGTCAGCAACCCCCGCTCCGCCCCGCTGCGCTCCAGACCGGCTGCTCAAAGCAAAGCATACAGCCTCCACTGTGGCTCCCGTCTGCTCCCCTCTGAGTCCCTTGGAGATGGTAGAGAGCATGCGCGAGATGATTTAATTCAAAGCAGCAAAACATACGGAAATGATCCAGGGTTTCCTCGGATCATTTAAAATAATTACAATCCATTATTTGTTGGGGGATTTTTTCATTAATTTCATAAATTTTTATGGGATTTCGGTGTAACAATCAACATATACCGAATCAAACCGAACCGAAAACCGTGACCACGAAACCATGAATCGAACCAAACCGTTGATTTTGTGAATTGTTCCACCCCTAAAAGACACATGTCCAAACCATGCAATCAGTTAAAATCCAACTATTAAAATGGCCAAGACCAAAGAGACTACGACCTGTCTAAGAGGTCGTAAAGTGTGAGTAATCAGATCGCATCCAGGTGTCGGTTTATACAGTGCAAGAACATTAATCACATTCTAAGTTGGAGCAACTATTGAAAATATCCCACATTTTTTCCCAAGCCTTACTTGCCACTGCTTTGAATCTTAACTGGTAAAGAAAAATGTAGTATTTGGTTCATTTCTCTTCGCACTTGTAGTCACATGCGTGCAATTAGGCTCAATCAGCAGTATTTGTTTCTCTAAAAACAAATACTTAAGGGAGCGTTATCATTTTCAGACAGCATTTACCTTTAATAACAGTGCTGCCAGGGTGAAGCTCCTGCAGTCACCTCCTCTGGCTGCTGCTGTCTGAACCCACTTAGGGAAACGTTGTTCCTTAGAGTCGTTACATAGAGCTACAATGTTTTGGCTAATTGCTGAGATGAAACTAGGGCTGAAATAATTAATCGGATTCATCATGATTGATCGATTATAGAAATAATTGTCGACTGATTTAATAATCGATTAATCTTTACTGAGGGATAGAGACTCTAAAACATGCCTTTAGCTAACAGAGCAAGATGAAACATGTTCACATATTAGGATTACAAACATTCAACACCTAAATTTAAATGTATTCTCTAGAAATAGTCACAGGTTCTCTCCTTTAGTCAGAGTTGGACCCTTCTTGCAAAGAACAGTTGTAATTGTCGAGCTAAAGATTTCAAAAAACATAAACTGAAAACAAATACATGTTACACTTATGAGACTAATATTCAAAAGTATTTGAATTATTAATTAGTATTGGTTTATCCAATATTGTATATGTGAAATCACAGAGTGGAAATAAGGATCCAGTCATTGGAGTAAATGTGTTTCATATTTTCCTACAGATGTCAAGAAGCTGTTTGTGGTGAGAGAAGTCCCCGATGAATGGAGCTTCACTGCAACCCATAAAAACTCAGAATCTTTCCAGTGTGAAAACGAAGATGAGGATCACTCTAATGGCAGTAGTGATTTCCATGTCAACTATGATGACTGGCAGACGGAGACAGTGCAAGAACTGGAGGAAAATAACGATGTGGGATATAACACTGCCAGGAAATTTTCTAGCTGTTCTATCTGTCGTAAGCAGTTCCTCTACCAGGAGGCTTTTCAGAAACACATGAAATCCCATTTAGAAAAAAGCAGTTTAAGTTTCCAGGTTACCGAGAAAGGCTTTATTGTAAAGAAGGATTTAGAATCAGAGACAGTAGATTCAGAGAAAGAATTTGGTTGCGACATTTGTGGTAAAGCTTTCCACAAAAAATCCTACCTTTATAGACACAAGCGAACCCACACAGGAGAGAAATCTTATCGCTGCGATATCTGCAGTAAAACATTCATGGATAAGTCAACTCTTAACAAACATATGAGCATTCACAGTGGTGAGAAAGCCTTTGGTTGTGATGTTTGTGGTAAAACATTCATCCAAAAGTCCAATCTTTATAAACACAAAAGAATCCACACAGGAGAGAAACCATTTGGTTGCGATGTTTGTGGTAAAGCATTTATTTATAAGTCCATCCTTAATGGCCACATGTTGGTTCACACCAGAGAAAAATCATTTGGTTGTGACGTGTGCGGTAAAACATTCACAGATAAATCCAATCTCCATAAACACAAGGGAATCCACGCAGTTGAGAAGTCTTTCGAATGCGATATATGCAGTAAGTCATTCATCAGTAAGTCGACCTTGAAAAGACATGTGGGGATTCACGCAGTGGATAAACCGTTCCGTTGTCTGGTCTGCGGGAAAACCTTCCACCAGAAGGTAGTGCTTAATAGACACATGGGAACCCACACATTGGAAAAATCCCTTGAATGTGATGTCTGTGGTAAAATGTTCAAACAAAAGGGGCACCTTGATACGCACAAAAGAATTCACACCGGTGAGAAACCGTTTATCTGTGATGTGTGCGGGAAAGCATTCAACCGCAAAGAAAGGCTTTGTTCTCATAAGAGAATCCACACCGGAGAAAAACCGTTTGGTTGTGATTTCTGTGGTACAATGTTTAATGACAGCTCAACGCTTAGAAAACACATGCGGATTCACACTGGAGAGAAGCCCTTTGGTTGTGATGTTTGCGGTAAACAATTTCGGTTCAGATCTAATGTCAAAAAGCATATGAGTACCCACACAGAACAGAAAGTTGCAGTTGAAGATTTGGTATGATTAAAGATTTTGTGCAGTGTTTCCCACTAGGAATGTCAACTTGGAGGCCAGGACGAACTGAGGCAAACACTTAATAAAGATGTTTCTTTTAAAAATAGAAACATTATGATTGTCGTAGTTAATATCTACAAGTTCAACAGAATAATGCTAAGCTGCTAAGTGATGTATGATGAAATACTTCTGTCATTTTTTTAGGATTTTACTTCGCTAGCTCCTGAACGTTGATGCAAATTTCTGTATGCCTTCTACCAAAGGAACGTCTATGCTATAACCCGGAAAAAAACAAAAAAAACAAAACATTTTAATGTTGATGTTTGGAGGGAAACATAAGTATTAATGGAAAAATATATTTAATTGCAGCTAAAACAAATTTCTTTCATTGTTTCAATCTTTTTGGATGTGCTGTAGAAGTTCCCTATGTGGACTAGGAGGTTTCTTGAGAAATTTGTATTTTTATCATTTAGGTGTCACATTTAAGCAAAAGTTTATTTCAATCTTAGTTTGCTCTTTGTTTACTAAGAGTTGAAGTATGTGCTTATGGCCCCATTTACACTACCCCTTTTTGAAATGTCAAGAACGGTAAAGAAGAACTGTTGTGTTTAAATGGAACTCAGAAGGCTAACTCTAGTACTAGTTCAACAGTAGGGGTCGCCACGTTTCAGTTGTGGCTTGGTTCTCTGATAAAAAAAAAGCGAATGAGCAGACGGCGTCAGCTCCTATTTACAGTCAGCTGCTGCTGTGGGATGTGAAAATTGTCGTACCATTTATACATCACGCTGAACCAGGCCCAGCACGGTTAATTGATGCAAGCTCGGTCTGAATTCGCACGGATCGGTTTCAGAGGGGTAGTGTTAACTGGGCATATGCCTTTGTATTAAAATAAATTATGTTTTCTATAGGTGGTGCACCATCTTTAGTTAGTTTAGCCCAAAACGTTAATATTCCTGTAAGTGTAGATTGAAGCAGTATTTTCACTGTATTAGCACATTTTCCCTACGTATGGGTGAAATACAGATTTTAAGGCATTCCACTCAGAATAAAGACTTAATGGGAGAGAGAATCTGATTAGTTAAATGTTAGGCTTTCAAAATAACAGAGACATTTAAAAGGCTGGTCAACATTCTAAGAAATGTTTCACGTGCCCTAACACAAATAAAAGGTTTTTCTTTTGCTGTTGTAAAAGAAAACTTGGACGTTTCTGTCAGACATTTAAAAATGGATACAAGTTGTGAAATTATGAGAGAAAAACTTTAGATGCCAAAATTTCTGCAAAAACCTTCAGCAAAATAATGCAATATTTATTCTAGGTACAGTTTAGCTGTTCTTTTTTGTAGAAACCAAAAAGCTTTGCATCACCTGGAAAATTTAAAGTCCTGAAAATACGACAAAAGAATTTTTCACTTTGAAGCTCAAGAGATGTAGAAATATTACCTAAAATGCACAGTGTAAATAGTAATATTTATGCTTAACAAGTCAAGTTTTTATTTTTAAGATATGATTGTGTTATTGTTTATTGTAATGTATATATGTAACATATGTCATTTCTGCTGTTTGGGGCAGCGTTTGGTTGCTGGTGAGGATTTTTTTTTTTTCATTCAACTAAATTCAGTAGATGCAAGGAATACTTTTATTGGGTAACAAAAATAAAAACTATGAATAGGTTGTGATACGGTTCACTTTGGTCTGCTTTAAATGGACCAGAGTTTGTTTCTACTCTTGGTTGTACAGGTGTGAATTCTTTCAAGGGCCAAGCAGCCAGACCAAGGTCCAGTTCTTGAAGTGGTCTCTGTTTTTTAATGTACTCTGGTGCAATTAATTTCTTGTGGAATAGGAACCAGACCTGATGAACCCCAACAACAGGAAACATGTACCTTGTTGGACCTAATGAGCCACCGTAGCAGGGTCTTGAGTAATACATTTTGCTTAGCTGCAATGCTGCCAGAATGATGTGGATCAGAGTATGATGTGCACATTATGTACTTCGGCTTCCAGCACACATTTGCAAACCCTGTTCAAAAAGTTAAAAAAAATAACATAAGGAATTGTCAAATAGGAACCTCTGATTACAATGATGTAGATGTAACAGCAGCTAAAATATTTAGACAACAAACGCCGTCTTTTTACAGTAAAAGCCATCCTAAATGACCTCTGTTGTAATCTTGAAGTTGATTTTGATGTCATTATTACCTTCACCATCTAGGGGGCGATAAGGATCTTTAAAGAGGCAGGGCACCTCTTCCAATATAATGACAGCTGAAACATGAGTCTTGCTTTGGTTTTGGCAATATTTATATGATTTACCTTTTTAAAATGTATTTCATATCTAGTCCTTCGACTCTTCCTAAATATAAGAGGTCTTTACAGTTTCACAGTGAGACTGATAACATGTCAAGATTGTTCTGTTGGTACTTCGGTAGCATATTTCTTAACAACAGAAACCTTTAAACACACCCTTTTGTCAACACAGCCTCTTGCAGAAAGTTCTTTAACTCGACACTACACACACTACATTATCTCTCTTGTGGTTTTGTTGCTATAATTGTACATTTCTGTATGTGGTGTGATCATTGTTTTGGATATCTTTTGCACAGCTTCTCAGAACAGGTTTATTTTACTCCTAAACAGCTTCGCTTCTCACTATTGCCCACTAATAGGGGATAAGATGGCTAATTGATAGTCCACAAAAAATATGTTAATATCTTTTCTATTTAAATGTGACTGTGTTAAGTCATATTTGTACTCCATGAAATCTAGAAATCAAGTATTACTAACAAATAAATCGCTAAACACTATAATCGTGTCAATCATTCGATTCTACTGAATATTAAATAAGTTTACGAATGCAGGCTTGTTAAACCTCAGATATGTTGGTCCTGGTTATAAAATAACACCATTTTTGAATGCTGAAATTGTAGGGGGGAAATTTCTATTAAAAAATCCTTCGTTAATCCTAAATGGAAGTAAAAAGGAGACATGAAACAACTAGAAAATCACTCGGGAGAGTGCAGAAATCTGCCAAGCAGCAAAATTCGCTCCAAACTGTGACTTACACATATAGCTAAAACTCCCACATGATCTGGATCATTAACACATTTTAATGAATTGTTCCTCGGCATTAGGTGCATCTTTGGTAACAATCTCCTCAAAATGGTTTCATAAGTTTTAAATTTATCCTGATAGCAAACTAAAGGCGTTTCCTTTTATTTAATTTTTTTCTTCTGTGAAATACATCCAGACATAAAGGCTGTCAATACTCAGTGCTGCGACGCTTAAAATCTGTTCATTACTTTTCTAGTTATCCAATACAAAGACAGAAAGAAACACACAAACTCCTAAAAACATAATCTCCTAGGCAGAAGCAAAATTAATGTAGCATTTCTTGTACATAGTAAATTGATATGACCAAATTAATTGGATTTTTTTTTTTTTCTGTGTGAAATAAGAGAAAATCTTTCAGTTGTTGTGTCAGCCAAACAATTATTAAATAGAAAAGAAATTACAGACTATTCATTGGTTTAATACTTTACAATAACAAACCCCAAAAGCTAAAGTTATATACATATTGCTAGGTAGTTTGTAGTATATGTTACAGCATATATGTAAAATTGCCTGCTGTTTTGTTTTGATATTTTTGCCAAAACTTAATAATGCATTCATAATTTCTTTACTGTTATTAGAGAACAAGAACATATAAAATAAGAGTTCAAACAGGAAAAACTAAATGTTGTACGTAAGAGCAGTGTGCCCAACTTGTATAAATCTGCTTCCACAAAAACAATGACAGAGAACCAATTCACTCTCTCCGCAGCAACGAATCCGTCATCACACAAATGCACATCTTTCTGAAATATTTCAGCTGCACTACTTTGATTTTCTTAATTACTGCTTTGACAAAGCAGCTCATTGGTCTGATAGATGTTTTTTTTTTTTTTTTAGTTTTTCATGTGCCATTTTCAAGCATATCTTTTTGGACATGAGGAAACATAAATCTCATATGTATTTCTATATATATTGTAGATTTGTCTTACTTCATTGTTACCTTAATTTTTCTGTCATCACATCTGATGTTATGATGCTTACTAAATATGTTTGTTTAAATTAGCATAAAACACATTATTGCTTTTTTATTTATTTATTATTAGTCTTGACAATAAATGAAATAATTACATTTAAAAATCCTAAATGACTGCATGCTTTGAGTTTTGAAATTCACTTTAAGCTTGAATGTACTTTTCAGTTTCGCATACTTAATGCTATTGTGTAGAAAAAATAAAGTACATTTGGTTCCTGGAGTTGTGATGAGATTTAGGATGAAAACACCAGCTCATGATCTGATTTAAAAAAACAAACATTTAAATTATTTCAATGACAGTCATCTATTCTATTTTTTTTATTATTATTTTTGGCATCTCAAGTGTAACAAAAATAATAAATCAATGAGATCTGTCAAGATTTGAAAAGTAGGATTTTTTAAATCTATACTAAAGAATTATATGCTCATTCAAAGTTCACTTTTTCAGTTCTGACAATCGTAAAGAAATTATTTTGTTCAGGCAATCTTTGTTCATTGAGCTTAATTGTTCTCGTTATGCTCCAGGATCTTCTAAAAACATGACCTGGACCCATTGAGCATGCTTTATTTGGATCATGAAGAAAAAGGATCCACTCTTAGATCTGAAGCAAGCCTTAATACCAGGGGGGAACTTTGTGATGGAAGTTGGTGGGGAGACTTTATAAGGATGGTTGCTCATGCACCTGCAGTTTCAAGACCCAAAAGCTTATGTTTTTATATCTTTCTAAAACTGAGGCCAAACATAAATATGAATGTCATAGATTTATTTATCCATCAATTTCCGTCACGCTTTATCCCTGCTGGGGTCGCGAGGGGTGCTTGTGCCCGTCTCCAGCTGTCTACGGGCAAGAGGCGGGGTACACCCTGCCCAGGTCGCCAGTCCATTGCTGTGCAACAATATAAATATATTTATTTAATGCCTTCCTATTGTTGAAAACGCAACACAAACGATATATATTATTTATAATATAGATACTAGATGGATGAATTTTAGTGCATCATCTATGAAGCGCACAAAACTACAACATTAAAAACATTGTCTCTGTCTGTGTAAAACTGTATTTGGAAAAATATGTAAATAAAAATAATGAAAAAAAAGTCTATCAAGGAAAAACCAGCTGACTGTGTAGAGTTATTGATATGCAAGGCGTGCTCCTTGTTTTGAATGGGTTTGTCATCACCATCACCACACCGTTTAGCTACAAGGTGGCGCAACAGAGACGCGCACATTCACAGTATGGATTACCAGCACTGATCTCTATTTATTCACTAGATTGCTGATTGCCCTTTGGTATTACGGGGTTGAAGTGAAGCAACCGGCCGCCATATTGGTACTCCCTGGTTAGACCAGTGGCAATGTAAACAAAAACAATGATTTTCTCAATTTCAGGAGGGCTTAAGACTTTTAAAATAAAGATAAATTCATCACTTTGACACACCCTTGATGTTGAATGGCATAAGTGCATTATTTTAACTCACAATATAACAAAAATAGGCACATCACATTGCATTCCCAGCAAACATGTCCAGGCCCCCAAATGGGCCTCACTTGGGCTGGATGGGCTCAGAGTGGGCTCTGTTGCTGGGACCCATGTGGGAGAGACCTGGGTTGCCCATGTAGGGTTTAGATCGGGCCCATGTGAAACCCACCCTCAGCAAATCTGGGCTTGCCCACATGGGGTGAACATGGAACCCCCCAGACAAAAACACTAACCAGCCCAAATACAACGTGCATAGCCCCCCTCATGGGTGTGTTGACAGGGTATGGGATACATCGGCGTATATATGGATTTTCTTGGTTTGTACGTCCACTGACTGTGAAATTACATGGGAAACGTCTTTCCAAAGCCAACTAACTGCTTGTTTTTGCAGCCAAATGCTACACCTGTAGGTGTGTTACTGTGCATCTCCATGGGAGTGGGGAGTACCAATATGGCGGCCGGTGGCTTCATTTTCTTTCGGGCTATCAGCAATCCAGTGAATAAATAGTGATCAGTGATTACCAGTACATCCGAGACAGACTGTATATTTCTTTAAAATAAACTTCTTAAAATTTTTGTTTTTGTTTTTTTTGTGTTTGCTAATTCTGTATTATCCTTAGCTTATATTGCTCTATTACTGATTAATATAAATTGCCATAATCAAATTAGGTAAATGAAAAAATATCTTCTGTGATTGTTATTAAACCAAGATGTATGTTTTGAGTTTTATTTATTTATGAATAAATTTATTCAAGGTAGCTGAGAACAGAAAAGTCTTGTTAGAGGTCTAGAGCGGAAACAGTAAAGGGGTTGACAAAACAACACCAGCCAGCATTCAGTACATCCCAAATCAACATTTTGACCCCAAAGCAATTAAAACAACAATATCCTTAAAAAACGTTTAAAAAATAGAAAAATGTGTAAGTTGGGTTTGCTTGTCTTTTTTTTCCTTCCCTTCTTAATGTTTCTTTATTAAAATGTTATTTTTTTCTTTTCCATCTTTTAAATATGGTTTTGTTATCGTTATTAAATGTTTTTAACTTACTTATTAAGATTTATAGTGACGATTGTTTGCCAG